GCGTAATGGCTATGTCGCTGGACTCCCATGTAGTCAACTGCAGTTTAAGTCCTGGACCGGTGGCTTAAACTCATGCCGGGCATGTGTGTGTGCATGGCCAAGTTCTGGAGAGGAGAATGAAGGAGAGGGGATTGCAGCATGGACATCCCCCCTGGGGATGATTTCTTGCTTTCTATCTTTCTGGTGAGCGCATGGTGCCCTATAGCAAAAACGTCTAAAAGAAATAATTTAATTTTATTTCTTCATTCATTTATTTTCATTTGACCAGAGAGAGACACACACAGAGAGAGAAGGAAAGTGAGAAAGCGAGCCACCAGGTCCAGGACTCGAACCATAGTTGGCCATGTGAGAGTATCCAGTGCCTTAACCACCACGCCACCTGCTGGTTCCATTCCTTGGCATTTTCTAAGTTGATGAGAAGAGACTGGTCTCCCTATCTTGACCAGAAGGAAGGGCTCAAGTAACTTTTATCCATACGAAATATTTACAGACACCTACCATGGCAGGTACTATGCTTTAGGCCTAGGCATACACATATGAATAAGATACTGTCTCTCTCCTCACAACTCCCACAATCAAATCAGAGGAACGGTTACATTTATTTTTTTAATATTCTATTTAACTTTATTTACTATTTTTATATTGCAGTTTTATCAGAGAAAGAGAGAGGGAGGGAAAGTGAGAAAGCAAGCCACCAGGTTCAGGACTTGAACCACAGTTGGCCATGTGGGAATTCAGTGCCTTTAACCACCACACCACCTGCTGGCCCTGGAACAGTTACATTTAAGAAAGAAAGAAAGAAATCGATGGGGGCAGCAGATTGTATGGTGGTTAGGGCGTTGGACTCCCAGATGGCCAACCATGGTTTGAGTCTCAGACACGGTGGCTTGCTTTCTCACTTTCCCTCACTCTCTCGTTCTCTGTCTCTCTCTGGTGAGCACATGTAGCACACAAGCCCTAGAGCAAAGTTAAAAAAAATAACAAAAATAAAATAAAGCAAAAGGAAAAAAAGAAATGAGAGCTCAGCATGAAGAGAGAGACACATGTACCATGGAGTGAGTGGTGCATGGGAGGTACTGACTCACTCTGCTTGGACCTGCTGGGAGGCTTCACAGCAGAGGAGCCCCTTGAGCTGGGTCCTGAAGGATGAGTAGGAGTTTGCCAGATGGATGCGTGGGCAGGGGCATTCCAGGCAAAGGGAGCAGCTTGTGGAAAATCACAAAGGCATGAGCCAACTTGGCATATTGTTTATTGTTTGGGAGCTATAAATAACTCCTGTGTGGAGAACAGAGAGTGTCAGAGCATAATGTAGAATGAAGCTGCTGGGGCAGAGGTCCCGTCTGAAAGGCCTTTCCAGAGACTGATACTTTTTTTTTTTTTTTTCAAAAACGTTTATTCACTTTTTCCCATGAGTGAGAGAGACAGAGACAGAGAGACACAGAACCAGTTCTCCCGACAGTGTCAGCACAGTGACCCACCCAGGTCAGGGGCACGTGAATGCCTGGTGTACTCTGGGAGTTCTCCAAAGAGAACTTAGAACCATCCCCTGTGGGTCAGCTTCTCAGAGCATCACGTGTTACTGCTGCGTGGCCGCCCAGACTTTCCACAGAGACGGGTACTTCTCAAACACGTCTGATGCCACAGTTGGATGATAAGGGGAGTCAGGTTATAGTCCTTTTGCATGTGGAGTTTTGGGTTTTTTGGGTTTTTTTTTTTTTTTTTTAGAGATTTTTGCTATAGGGCACATGTACTCACTGGAGAGACAGAGAGAGACAGAAAGTGACATCCCCCCCCAGGAGGGATGGCCATGCCACAATCCCCTCTCCTCCATTCTCCTCTTGAGATCTTGGGTGTGCACACACATGTGCCTGGCAACTCCCGAATCCGGGACTTGAACTGCAGTTGACTACATGGGAGACCAGCGATGTAACCATTATACCAGCTGCTGGTCCCAGAATTGTTTTTTCACTATGAGGGGTCTTCATGGAAAATGCGTATGATGAAACAACTATGCATGAATTCCAAAATTTTTTGCACTAAAGTAGACTCATACTTGAATTCCATTTTTAAAAAATAATTATTTAATTTTATTTATTCATCCATTTATTTTAATTTGACAAGAGAGAGACAGAGAGAGAGAGGGGAAGTGAGAAAGCAAGCCACCAGGTCCAGGACTTGAACAGTGTTCGGCCATATGAGAGTGTCCAGCGCCTTAACCACCACGCCACCCGCTGGTCCCCGAATTCCATTTTTCTACAACCTTTTTGAAGTCCCCTTATATCTCATTTTTTTTGTTGTTGAAAACTCACATGGAATTTTGCATTCTACATTATAACAACCTGATGCCTGGTTTCATAGGAAAATGGTCCTTTAGATGACTAGATTAATTACTTAACCTTTTCTCAACTTTTCAAGGAAAAAAAAATGTAACTCTCCAGGAATGTGGACATATTTATTCCTAGATTTTGTTTTCCCTGGCTCACTGCCGCTAGGACTAACAGGAAGCCACTCATGGTGCAGCAAGAGCTCCTCTGGAAAGTTCCCTGAGCACGCCAGCGCCCATCCGCCTCTGTTAATCCACACTGAGCACCTCTCAGCCTGCAGTGAAGTCATCCATTTTTGTCCTCTGCTCTTTATTTCCCATGTTCCGCACCCAAAGATGCCGCAGGTGAGTGATGAATCCCTGAACGGGAGAAACAGTGAGTGAAGGAACACTGAAGGGGTTTGCTCAGTGCCTGGCGCTCCTGACCTTGTGTTTGTGTCCACTTTGTGTCCTTGAGATGTGGCACTATCGCAAAACGGAGTTGCCAGTGGACCAAATTACCAGTGCCTGCCCACATAAAGAAAGTCCTGGAAGCAGATGCTGAGCCTGATATGTCTTTAGGGAGATGATAAAAGAGAGGGTCTAAGATTGTACACAGTTTACTCTGGGGGGGCTGTAGGGTGTAGAGGTGTGTCTGTATTTGTGAACCCTGAAACTGCTCTTCTTTCTCAGGAGAGTCCCTGCCAGAACCATCAGAGATACAGGAGGTCCTGAGCAGAGCCCAACTACTCCCAGCGTACCCACGGGAGGGCTCCCTCTACAGGAACTAGACAGGGAAACAATGGGGCAGGCAAGGATGAATGTCAAGACCCACAAGGAACATTGCTCTGCTAAAAATGAGTCTTTAGGGACCAACAGTTAGCGTAATGGCTATGTCACTGGACTCCCACGTAGTCGACCGCAGTTCGTGTCCCGAACCCGGTGACTTAAAACTCACGCCAGGTGCGTGTGCGTGCGTGCCCAAGATCCTGAGAGGAGAATGGAGGAGAAGGGATTGCAGCATGGCCATCCCCCTGGGGGGTGATTTCTCGCTTTCTGTCTCTCTGTCTCTGTCTGTCTGGCGAGTGCACACACCCTATAGCAAAAACCTCTGAAAAAAAAAAAAAGAATCTTACAGTGTTGGGTTCAACTGATGTTGGGCTTCTAAGGCCTACTAGAATTGCCTCTCATCCCTTGTCTCTCCTGAGCCCTTCCTCCTCCAAATCAACCAGAGACCAGGCCGTGGGAAATCAGCTCAGACCCAAGGCCCAGGAAATGGAAGAACATGGCCGGGGAGACAAGCACAAGTCAGTGTTTGTGGTTCAGGCCAGAAGAGCACATTTGGTGAAATGCTCTGAAGTAGGGGGTGGGTAATGAAGCAGGAGGGCAGTGAGGCTCATTGGGTGGTCGGAGGACTACACCCACTGCCTGAATGGAGAACTCAGGTGAGTTTCCAGCGTCTGGAAGTGGGGGCTGTGGGGAGGCTGGTGGTGAGGCTGAGGCTGGCACAGACGAGACAGAGCTGAGGCTGGAGCTAGGTTGGAGCCAAGGCTGACAGTAGGATGGTGGTCCTACCCACAGATAATTTCTCTGTCACTTCCTCAACCTAATCTTCTCCTTTTCCTCTTCTAATCCAGCCCTTTGCTCTGTCACCAAGCCTCCACCTTCCCATCCTCATTGTGTGCCGAGGTCTGGAGGATCTGATCCTGGGTCTCTCCCTGCAGCTTAGTTTCCAGGGCAGTGGATCAGTGGAGGATGTGCTCAACTAAAAGCTTTGAGCCTGATCTGCACGTCTAAATAATGTCTGATCTGGCAAATTCTGGTTCTGGGCCAGAACGTGGCCAACATCTGTGTCCAAATTCTTAGTTACAAGTTGTAGCACTGACTCTGATTTATTTAAGGAAAGAAAGAATTTACTACAGAATATTGGGTAGCTCACAAAACTACCAAGAAGATTACCAAACTGGGTTTGGCAAGAGCATGGACAGCCACAAGTCTAAGGTGTTACTAAAGTCACTGCTGTCACCCTGAACACTAGATGTTGCTGCCAGCAGCCCTCTGTGGCCTCTGGGCCTAGAAACTGCTGTAACTGCTCAGAAATATTCTCTGCTATGCTCCAGTGGCTCCCAAATCCAAGGACAGGGTAGGGGTCCTGGCCACCTGAACCTGGTCCTGTGCTCTCATCCTGGCTAGAAGGAGCACCTGGAAATGGACACCTGGTGTTTCAGCGTTTACAGGCATTTGGGTTTTGTCTCCCATAAAAAGCAATAATGTTAGGGGCCAGTCCCACGGCTGGTGGTTAAAGTGCTGGATTTCCACATGGCCGATGGTGGTTCAAGTGCCAGTCCTGGTGGCTTGAAAACCATACCTGGCATGTGTGTGTGCGCGCCCAAAATCCCAAGAAGAGAATGGAAGAGAAGGGATTGCAGCACAGTCTCCTGGGGGTGATTTCTCACTTTACTTTTCTTTGTCTCTCTCCAGAGAGAGCACACCCGCCCTATGATGAAAAGCTAAAAGAAAACAAAAACAAAACTGGGGGGCCAGCAGATGGCTTAATGGCTACATCACTGGACTCCCATATAGTCAACCATGATTCAAGTCCTGAACCTGGCTGCTGGAAACTCATCCTGGGTGTGTGTGCATGCATGCCCAAAACCCTGAGAGGATAATGTATGAGAAGGGATTGTGGCATGGCCATTCCCCATTGGGGGGTGATTTCTTGCTTTCTGTCTCTCTGTTTCTCTCTGTGTCTCTGGCGAGCACACATGCCCTGTAGCAAAATCTCTCTAAAAGAAACAAAACAAAACAAAAAAACAACGAACAACTAAAATAATGAATGCAGGGCCAGCAGGTGGTGTGGTGGATAAGTGCACTGGACTCTCACCTGTCTGACCGTGGTTCAAGTCCCAGACCTAGTGGCTTGCTTTCTCACTTTCTCTCTCTCTGTCTCTGTTTCTCTCCAGTCAAATTAAAATAATGATGATGATAAATAAAATAATTCTTTAAAAATAACATAATGAATGCTTAAATGTCTTAATAAATGTCTGAGAAACATACACTTAGTCAATTTCTTCGTTAAATTTCATATTCCTAATTTTTTTCCTACACTAGAAAACAATTAGTTGGTTAATTTTCTCACTTTCTGGAATTTCCTAAATACTTACCAAAATTGCTGAGAAATTAGAGCCAATCATAGATTTGAAGAGCTCTTTGCAGGCATTTTTTTTTTCCCTAAAAAATAAACATTTTCTTAAAAATCTTTTTTTTTTTTTTTAGAGGTTTTTGCTATAGGGCGCATGCACTCACCAGAAAGACAGAGAGAGACAGAGAGATAGAAGGTAAGAAATCACCCCCCAGGGGGGATGGCCACGCCGCAATCCCTTCGCCTCCATTCTTCTCTTGGGATCTTGGGCACACACGCACACGGGTCCGATGTGAGTTTAAGCCACCAGGTTCAGGACTCGAACCGTGGTCAACTACATGGGAGTCCAGTGCCATAGCTATTACGCTGTTGGTCCCACCTAAAAATCTTTTTTATAAAAGAATTATTTATTATCATTATTTTTCAGTTTGACCAGAGAGAGAGCAAACCACCAGGTCTGGGACTCAAACTGCAGTGGAAGTCCAGCACCTTAACCACTGCGCCACCTGCTGGCCCCAAATTATTTTTTTAAAAAAGAGGTTTGTTTGGTTGTTTTGTTTTGTTTTGTTTTGCCTTAGAGTGCGTGCACTCACAGGAGAGAGAGAGAGACAGAGATAATGAGAGGAAAAGTGAGATATCACCCCACCGGGGGCCTGGCCACACTGCAGTCCCTTCACCTCCATTCTCCTCCCAGGACCTGGGGCACACACAGACACATCTGGCTTGATTTTCAAGCCACCAGGTCTGGGACTCAAACCACTTTTGGCCATGTGGGAGTCCAGCAACATAACCCTATGCCATCTGCTGGCCCCTTCTTAAAAATCTGAACAAGGTTCAATCCTGTAGACAGATTTTAAACCCTGTGCAAAGAGAGCCAGGACCCTCATGGCCAATCACGGTTGGAGCTCTGGCCCTGGTGGTTTAAAAAATACATGATGCACATTTGTCTGCATGCTCTAAATCCGGAGAGATAGACATGGAAGAAAAGAGATTGCAGTGTGGCCACACCCCATTGGAGGCTGTTTTCCTTCTCTTTCTCTCTCTCTGACAAGTGTATACACCCTCTGGCAATTGAAAACAAAGTGTCCTTGTGGTTGTTTTTTTGACACTTCCAGAGTCTTTTAGTTCCCACTGATAGGATACAACATTAGCTATTTCCACTGGAAATTCTGCTTTTCCTTCTGCTGCCTCTTCCCATGTGTGTCTCCCAGCTCTGCAGACCTGGCAAACATACAGGAACACAGGCCTCGGTCTCCCACGCTCCCAGAGCAAGCTGGTCCTCAATTGCCGTGCACCAGACCTGCCAGTAGCCAGCTGCCAGGTCCTGGCTGCTGCTGTCCATTACTGGAGTCCTGGCGTCCTACCTCTGGAAACGTGGGCTGCCATCATCCTGGCTCATCCCGGACATGGCTAAGACGACAGCAGGGTTGTCCTGAAGTACGTTCTCGCTCCCCTCAGTGGGTCTGAGTCCCGAAGGCCACCCACTACAGGGCCACATGCAATCGAATCCAGCAAAGTGGCCTCACCTGCCCCCAATTCCTCTCCATCCCATCCCGGCAAGCTGCTTCCCACACCCTCCCTCACCACGCGGGACCTCACAAGGCTTGGCTAGCCCTAGGAATCCTGTCCAAGGCTGTCTTTCTCCACAATGTTGCAGACCAGTTATGGCAAACCGAACGACAACCGTTGGGGGGGAAATTGTTAAATCTTTACAGATATATTATACTTAGTGTGGAATGTGAGTGTATTTTAATGTGCTCCTTGCTGAGAGGTGATATAGCCTGGTAGTGAGAATGTGAACCTGAGAAACAGCCCGTCTGGATTCAAGTTCTCTTTGCCATTTACCAGTTATACAATGTAGAGCAAATGATTTCATTTCACTGTGTAATGGTTCCTCACCCATTAAGAAAAGGAAAGAAGATGATGGTAATGATAGTTTCTACTTCTGAGGGGGGAAATAGTCATTCCTATGATCTGAGTGTTTGTATCCCTCCAAAACTCATATGTTGACATCTAATCCCTTATGTAATCGTATTAAGTGGTTGTGCCTTCAAGAGGTGATTAGGTCATAAGGGGGAGCCCTCGTGAATAGGATTAGTGCCCTTATAATAGAGGTCCAAGAGAGCGTGTTCACTCCTTCTGCCATGTGAGGAGGTAGCTAAGAGGCACCACAATGAAGCAGAGGGCATGCTCTCATCAGACACCTTGTCTGCCAGCACCTTCTGGGACTTCCCCGCCTCCAGAACTGTGAGCAGTACATTTATATTGTTTACAAATTACCTTGTTTAAGGCATGTTGTTATAGCAGTACAAATGGACTGAGACAATAATAATCATCCCTGGTTACTATTAGCACAACTTCAGATTGTTGTGAGGATTAAAGGAGTTAATAGTTTTAAATATTTTGGAATTATTCCCAGCAAGAAGTAAGTGTTCTTTAAAGATTTGTTTAAATAAACAAACAAATGTAGAAGAGCTTTTGGTCTGTGACTATTTGCCTAAGTCTTTAAGAAGGTTCTATCTCAGTTCACTTGGCTAGTGAACCTAGGGAGCGTTGTGGGCAGACACAGGCCACAGTTATGAGAGTAACCAGGTACAATTATGTTTAGGAATTTGGAAAACCACAAATTAGTCTGGAAGGACCCATTGCTGGGAACCTGGTGGTTTTTGTTTGTTTATTACTATTTTTGTTGTTGTAGGTTTTTGGCATAGGGTGCATGTAGTCAGTCAGAGAGACAGAGAGAGGGAAAGTGATAAATTACCCTCCTTCATTCACCTCTCAGGATTCTGAGCACGGACAAACCTTGCACCCAGTATGATCCTCAAGTTACCAGGTCTGGGACCAAACCGTGGTCAGCTGTGTAGGAGTCCAGCACCTTAATCACCATCACCATGCCACCTGCTGGCCCTTGTTTGTTACTTTTTTTTTTTTTAGAATTATTTTATTCAGTTTTATTCATTTAAATTTGACCAGAGAGAGACACACAGAGAGAAAGAGGAAAGTGAGAAAACAAGCCACCAGGTCTGGGACTTGAACCATGGTCGGCCAGTGGTGGGGGTGCCCAGTCCTTACCCCCCGCGCCCCCTGCCGGTCCCCGTTTGTAACTATTAATGTGATATATTCTCTCAATTTTCTTTTTTTGAGAGGTTTTTCGCTATAGGGCGCGTGCGCTTGCCAGACAGACAGAGAGAGACATAGAGACAGAAAGCGAGAAATCACCCCCCAGGGGGGATGGTCACGCCACAATCCCTTCTCCTCCATTCTCCTCTCAGGATCTTGGGCACGCACGCACACGCGCCTGGCATGAGTTTTAAGCCACCAGGTTTGGGACGCGAACCACGGTCGACTACGTGGAAGTCCAGTGACATAGCCATTACGCTAACTGCTGGTTCCCTATTCTCTCAATTTTTAACACCAATTCCTCCCTCCCCGGTCACACATACAAGGGGTCTTCAAAAAAGTTCATGGAAAATGTGTATTATTAAAAAAAAACCAAAACAGATTTCAAAAATTTTCTTTTTTTTTGCACCAAAATAAACTCATATGAACTCGATAGAACATATCTGAACAAGATATAGTTAGGCACTAAGAAGGATAAAACATAAGTTTTTTTGTTGCCTTTATTTATTTATTATTACTTTTTTGGAGAGGTTTTTGCTATAGGGCATGTGTGCTCACCAGAAAGACAGAGAGAGACAGAGAGACAGAAAACGAGAGATCACCCCCCCCCAGGAGGGATGGCCATGCCACAATCCCTTCTCTTCCATTCTCCTCTTGGGCTTTTGGGCACGTCTGCACACACACC